AGCGAGCTTTCGATTCCTGTAATGATTAAAATATAGAGAAGCATCTGGGCCATACTCCCCACCACACCACAGGCATGCGCTTGTTAAATTAGGTTGAGAAGCTGATTTAAACTAGTGAACTAATCTCAATTTTGTGTTCCAAAAAGAGTTACTAGAGCTGGGCAACGGTGGCGCACGCCTTTAATCCCAGCACTGGGGAGGCTGAGGCAGGCGGATCTTTGTGAGTTTGAGGCCAGCCTGGTCTACAGAGTGAGATCCAGGACAGGCTCCAAAACTACACAGAGAAACCCTGTCTCCAAAAACAAAACAAAAAACAACAACAACAAAAGGTTACTAGAAGTTACTGGGAGCAGCAGTAATATTGAAAACCTTAGCTAAGTCACTGCCACCGAACTTCTCAGTCACATGTGATCTAATGTGAACCCCCGAAAGGAGAACTTCAGATAGAATTTCTAAAACCTATTAACCAAAGAACAGTTTGAGGAGTGTAGTTTGGAAAGGAGTTGCTTAGGGCCTTGTGAACACATGAAGAATTAATGGGATATGGGGATACTTTTGTTACTTAAAATGTGCCTTTTATGTAAATTTAAAAAAAAAAAGGCCCATCAAAAATTGAACTTGAAGGGGGGGTTGTTATTTTTTAAGATTGCATTTTTATTTTTAAATGTTTACATATGTTTCTGTGTCTCGGGTGTGAGCTTATGCTGTGGGTGCAGTGCCCAAGGAGGCCAGAAGAGGGATCAGATCCCCTAGAACTGGAGTTACAGGCGGTTGTGAGCTGCCCTGTAGAGGCTGCTGGGAACCATGCTTGCATGCTCTGCTAGTGCAGTATGTGCAGTGTGCACAGAAGTTGAAGTTTGAAACCCATGTGGCAGGATCTTTCCCGGGGATGTCAGTCTCTGGGGTTTACAGATCCGTGGAAAGCCGGGGTGTACAGGCAGAACTTGGAGAGGTAAATTAGCACTGGCCCGTTTGTAGCCACAGTTGACATAGGATCAGAGTTACCATCTGAACCTCACTTTGACTAGTGGCTTCCCTGTGGTGCTCACTAGAATCTCTAATCACCACTGCTAACAAAAGAGTGTCAGGGTGTTTACCAGTGGGAGGCTGGTACAGTAATGGAGTCCGTCTGTCCATCTGCAGAGCTGATGTCTGTAGGAACATGGGAAGAAGAGGCAGTCTGATGTGGCTTCAACAGCTTCCAGAGCAGCGGTTCCCAACCTTCCTAACACTGCGACTTTAACACAGCTCCTCGTGCTGTGCTGACCCCCACCATAACATTATTTTCATTGCTAATTCATAACTGTAGTTTTGTTACTGTTATGAATCGTAATATAATACCCGATATATGACCTGAGGGGGTCATGACCCACAGGTTGAGAACCACTGTTCTAGATAGTTGGCTGAAGTGGAAATGATCCTTTGTCTTATCTTCTCTACTATGAGAGGGTGGCAACTTGGTGCTAACACTGGTGTCTTGTGACTTTCAGAACAAGCACTGGCTCATTAGGCAGGCCAAGACTCCAATGACAAACTCTTCAATCCAGTTCCTAGATGACGCCTTCAGAAGGAGGTAAACACCGCTGCTCCGTTCTCGGTGTGGATGGCTTGAGGAATGGGGGATCCACTCTGTTGTCCTTGAGCAAACATGGAGGCAGGCAGGTGGGAGGTGCTGTGGGAACTGCCACTCGACAGGCAGGCAGGCAGGCAGTCCTTGTTCAAGTGCGTGAGGTAGTCTCTGGACCCCAAGACCGATTAAAACATCTGTTTTTAAGACTTGTAAAGAAATGACAAACTCAAACTATTTGCTTGAAAGTTTTTCCCCCAAGCTTAAAGAAAAGATTACATAGAAATCAGCCCAAATATTGAGCAAAGTGATTACCTTTGATGTTTGGAATTTGCAAGACGTGCTAGGTCAATTTTTAAAAAATTCACTACTTTCTCTTAGAGTATATTAAATTTGGATCAGAAGTCAGTAAACATTTTTATGTAGGACCAGATAATAATAGCAAATGTTGTAAACTTGCAGGCCATGTATCCCAGCACAAAGGCAGCTTTAGGCAATATGAAAATATTGCTATGTGTCAATAAAACTTTATAAAAACAGACAATAGAAAAGCTTTGGCCTCTTGCCTATGGGCTGATGCCTAGTGTTTGGACCAGTAAACAGTAGTGTAGCACAGACTGATTTGAACCAATTTGTAGTAATGTATACTTATATGGTAAAAAATGAAGTTAGCTCATTATTTTTTTTTTTTTTTTTTTTTTTTTTTTTTTTTTTTTTGGTTTTTCGAGACAGGGTTTCTCTATGTAGCTTTGCGCCTTTCCTGGAACTCACTTGGTAGTCCAGGCTGGCCTCGAACTCACAGAGATCCGCCTGGCTCTACCTCCCGAGTGCTGGGATTAAAGGCGTGCGCCACCACCGCCCGGCTAATTCTTTTTTTTTTTAGCTCATTATTAAAAGCCTGATTTATGTCTTTGGAAACAGATTTGAAATGAAGTAATTGTTGTGTCCTGGAATGTTCTAACCTGGAATGTTTGCAATGATGGAGTCTGGGGGACAGAGTTGAGCATTTGGTGTTTGCTTCTGTGGGATGAGGGTTCCTGTGCAGCCATCCCCCCTGAAGTCCTGTCTCCACCCCATGTTGTTACCCAGGTGGCAGACGCTGCTCTCGGTTGACGATCTTGTGGAGAAGCTGGTAAAGAGATTAGACATCACTGGTGAGCTGGACAACACGTACATCTTCTATACCTCAGACAACGGCTACCATACAGGTGAGCGGCAGGGTCAGCACTGTCGCTGTGAGAGCACATCCCCTTTGTCACCCATGTGGTAGGAGTCTAGCCCTTCACAGCAGGGTGCTTGCCAGGCTGAGACCTTCTCGATGAGAAGCACTTCCACCTCAGGAAGAAGCCGGGTTTCCTGATCCGCTGTCTCAGATGCTGAGTGACCTGGTCTTAGGAGCAGAGAATGCATTTACTGTGTTAGAGACAAGCCATGGAAAAGCGAGAGGATGAGCTCGCTGCAGGATAAGTGGAACTTAGGGAATGTGTTGTTGTAGATGGGACACAGAAAGTTACCCTGTAAACACAGCTTTATTACTAAATCGTGTAATTTGGGGAGTATTTCTGGCTTTTGAAAACTGCAGTATGAGTGAGCTCCGTACCCTTGACCTGCACCCTTCTAATTTGGACCCCCTATAGCTAAAGACAAGTGTTTTCTTTTTTCTGTGTGTATATATAGATTTCCTCTTGAGTTAACATGAGGCTTGCTTTCATTTGTGCAGATTGACTCAGCATTTAATATATTACTGTGGGCAGAATAGAAGCTAGAGTGGCTGGGTGTGATGGTGTGTGCATACTGTATTACTTAGGGAGAAGGCTGAGGCAGAAGGATTGCTGGAGCCCAGGAGCTGGAGCCGGTGTGGTCAGCACAGATCCTGCCTCTTCGTAGTGGGGGCACTAATTAGAAACACCTCCCTGTCTTCCTGCTCAAATTTCAGCGGCAGATGGCCAGTCTTCCCACCTTCCTCCTGGTTTTCTCTGTCTGTAGGCATGTGAGGTGGGCAGGGTATTGGCAGTGCTGACATCAGACTGAGTCCTTGCACACGCTAGTGGCCATTTTACTGCTGAGCTCCATCCCCAGCCCTTGGGTTTTTTGATCACTTCATCTGCCAAGTTTGCCTTAACCTCATGGTCGCCCTGCCTTGGCCTCTAGTGTTGGGGTTATGGTGTACCTTGACACCGGCTGTTTTCCTAAAGGGTTTGAAGCAACTCCCAGGCACTCATGAATCCACAAATGGCTCCACGCGAATCTAATTTATCCAAGCAGATAAGTCTACATATGACCTTTGAATTTTGAGTTCCTCCAAGCCTCAGTTGCTACTGACTTCTGAGGAAACATTGGTCCTGTAGAGCTTCTTATTCTGGATTTGGCTAATGACTGTCTGGTGAGGCCTTGCTTGTTCATCTCCACTCAGTGTCTCCTGCAGATGGGTACTGAGATCTGGAGACCTGACCCAGGTCAGTGTCTGCAGACCAGAAGCGGCCCCGGCGATGCTGTGGTTTACCTCTCATCCAGTGTGTGAGCCACCGTGTCCGGCTGTCCCACTCTGGGGACACCAGTGTGGACTGATGGCCAGGTGGTCTAAGCTGGTCCCTTCCTCCGAACCTGTCATTGAGGTTTCCTCTGAAAGTTGTCACTGAAACTTTTCCTCAAACTGAACTTTGACAGATGTTGATGTCTGACGTCCTGGTTCTGTCCTCATGGTGTGTCTGTGGGAATTCCTTGGGAGGGCCTTTCCTCCTCCCTGGCCTTGTCCCGCAGTGCATCAGGGGAACAGAGTATGTTTTTCTCTATGTGGCAGTGTTTGGAGTGACATCATTCACCTGGGTCAGGTCACATGTGCATTAGTGTTTACACACGTGTCTCTCCTTCCTACCCAGACATTCTCTGCTGAGTTTGTCCTGTTTAGAACAAACCTTCTTAGTTACTTATCTGGAGAAGGTAAACTCATTGTTTTTCTTCTCTTGTGAAAAGAAACCCAGGCGAGTTTCAACTTCTATTATAAAACTAGAATTAAGGGGCTGGAGAGATGGCTCAGTGGTTTAGTAGAGTGCTTCTGGAGGACCCGAGTTCAGTTCCCAGCACCCATGTCAGGTGATCTGTAACTCCAGCTCTGGGAGGTCCATCATCTCCTTCTAGCCTCCAAGGGCATGCACACATGTGGCATACATTCACACAGATACACGCGTAAACACACACACACACACACAACACATAAATAAAATATAAATCTTAAAGCATCCTTTTAGTTTTTCAGCGGCTGAAATGGTGTATGTGCCACACCCCCGTCCTGGCTCTGTGTGACTCTGTGCGTTCTGTTTCAGGGCAGTTCTCTTTGCCAATAGACAAAAGACAGCTGTACGAGTTTGACATCAAAGTGCCACTGTTGGTTCGAGGGCCTGGCATCAGACCGAACCAGACAAGTAAGGTAGGTGCCAGCTGCAGCTGACCCTGTGGACGGGTGGCGCTTGCCCTGAGAAGGCGGCACTTCTCCCGGAGAGGAGGGCTGGTCGGTGGTGTACGCTCTTCTGCCTCTGTGAACCTTGGAGAGAGTGGCCTTTCTCTCACCCAGCTGTCCACTGCCACAAGTGTGTGTATGTCACACCAGCATGCACAGCCTTGGTTCACTTCCAGATTGACTTCTGGTACTAGTGAGTCTAGGGAATCACCATCTCAAATTGTGTGGTTTCTTTTCTATCCAGTTTGCGCGAGCGCATGTGTGTGTGTGTGTGTGTGTGTGTGTGTGTGTGTGTGGACATGCACATGTATATGCAAACATGTGGAGTGTGTGTGTGTGGACATGCACATGTATATCCAAACATGTGGAATGTGTGTGTGTGTGTGTGTGTGTGTGTGTGTGTGTGTGTGTGGACATGCACATGTATATGCAAACATGTGGAGGCCCAAGGTTGATATCAGTAATCGTCCTTGATAATCTTCCACCGTATTCATTGAAGCAGGATGTCAGTCAGACTCAGACCCCACTGATAAAGCTAGCTTTGCTACTCAGCATGCTCTGGAAATCCCGTCTCCACCTTCCAAGGTTGGCATTAAGATCAGGCTACACGCCCACCTTGGCTTCTGGAGATGCGAATTCTGGGTCCTCACACTTTCATGCCAAGCACCAAGTGCTGACTGTGAGCCCAGTCCTAACCTCTGCAATTATGAAGGAAGACCATGGCGTGCGCTTGGGCAACCTCCAGAAGGGTTTGGATTGACCTGTGGCATGAACAGACCCTGCTCTTCATTCCCCTTTCGGCTTAGGCGGTGAAGACCTGGTGTGGGGCCCACATGTCCCACACCAGAACTACCCAGGCTGTGCATGTGAGAATCCCCGGGTGTCTTGTTAAAATGCAGGTTCTAGCCACGCACCCCCCAGGTGGTATCTGCTGCTGACTGACCTCATTTGAGTATAGTGTGAGGCTGTGGAATATTTGACTTTCCCTAGGAGTTGTGAACAAGTGTCCATTCACCCCCAACGGGCCACTGACAGCAAACCTGTGAGAAGCTGATGAATCAGTGCATTTACTGGGGTTCCTTAGGGATGGCTCAGGAGCCTCATCACGGGAATGTCCATCCCAGAATGGGTGTTGAGTTCTGAGAGACACTTGGCTGGGGTCCTCTCCAGCTGGCAGACAGCTCCAGCAAGGAGAGTCTCCTCCATTCCACCGACTGTTGCCGCTTGTTTATATAAACCTTAAGGGGAGGGGCTTGTGAATCTGGTCACTTCCTGAACTTCCAGAATCTTACTTCCCACTCTCATGAGTCCACACACAGGAGAGCCAGTTCAGGGTTTCCTCTTCCTTACTGAAGCTCTTCCTCTCTGCCCCTCCTGGCCTGTCGTGTGCAGCACAATCTTTTTTTTTTTCTTTTTTTGGTTTTTCGAGACAGGGTTTCTCCATGTAGTTTTGGTACCTGTCCTGGAACTCACTTGGTAGACCAGGCTGGCCTCAAATTCACAGAGATCCGCCTGGCTCTGCCTCCCGAGTGCTGGGATTAAAGGTGTGTGCCACCACCGCCTGGCATGTGCAGCATATTCTGTGGCTCCCATTGGTCTAGTGTCTTGGCCAACCCGTCTCATTAAGACACTTTGTTCCTAGAGGCGGTGGCCGGCCACCTTGATCCTGAACACTTCTCTCTGGTGGTCAGGAGATGACAGCCAGAGTCTCTCTTCCCGATTCTACGTTGTCCCTTAAGTGCTGGGACCAGAGAACATGAACAAACACATAAAGCTAAAATTGTAAGGTGGGTTTCCAGAGGACCCGCACTTCCAGGTATGTGGGAGGTCCAGGCTGTGTCTGGTGGTGGTGGGCGCCGATGCTCACCTCGCTTCCGACCTCACCCACTTCCTGTTACCGTGCTCATGGCGCAGCACTTTTAAATTGCTCCCAGGAAGGTAAAGCGGCCTTCCTGGCCATCATTTGTGTCACATTTGCTCTTATTGAGACCTGTGTCCCACCACAAGTTTCGGCACTTTGTACCCAGGTCACTCCTTTCAAAGGGGGCAAGCTGGGCAGGCTGGGCAGGCCAGCAACCTTCAGTGTGCCTTCCTGAGGGTGGCCTTGGAGCTGAGTGCAGGGTGCACATCAGCAGGGCATGCACTTCTGAGAATCGGGAGCCTAGGGCTGCGCATTCCGTGGGAAAGAAACTGAGTGGAGCAGAGTGAAATGTGTCCGTCAGCCGCGGCGGAGGAACGACCAGTCCTTTTCATCAGCCTCCTCTGCACATATTAAGATCGGAAACCTCGCCTCCTCTAAGCATTTAAATGGTGTCTGGTTCCTCAGAGCTGTATCGTGTCGACAGGTGGTGGTCTGAGTTGTGTGAATGAACTCACTCAGCCCTCGGAGCCCAGGAGGTCGTGTCCTGTTATCCCCATCCTGTCAGCGAAGAAACAGGGGTCAAGGGAATTGTCTGTCTGTCTCACATAATTTAAAAAGCAGAGCCCTGCTTGGAATCCAGACAGTCTGGCTCAGAGTCCACGTACTCTGGCAATGGGTGTTTATTCGGTACTTTTTTATGTTGACATTGCCCACCTGCAGTCCTGGGCAGAACACGAAGCAGCCAGGGAGGATCAATTCATAAATCCTTTGTCTGAGAAGCCAGGAAGGTTTAGCTCCAGCAGGCGAGGCCTCTGGGCATTGGAGCACAGACCTAGAGGTTGAGGAGGCTGGAGTCACACGGTCTGTGGACCCAGCACTCTGAGCCGCACAATGAGCAAGCAAAGATGTTAGAGCAAGCAAGCAGGGGAAAGGCAGCATTGGTACCGGACCGCTTTCCCTCCCAAGGGAACCGATCTCCTCCGGGCTTTGGCGTGAGGCTGCTGCTTCTGACTGAAGTGCCCACCTCCCCAGCCTGCTTGTCCTTACAGACTCTGGAGTGGGGTTCCCCTAGGAAGCGTCTTCACACTCTCCCCTACCCGGCATCCATACCTCTCTAAACCTTCGTCTGCTCTCAGCTGGCTTCACATCCTGTTGAGTTTACTTCTTGTTACTCTGTGGTACCCTAAAAAGAGGATAGATGTAAGCCAGTAATTCCCCCATCCTCCATGTGCACTGGGGTTCACCCACACTGGTAAGGTGGACTTTGTAAGTAGAGTCTGTTCTCACAGTGGGGGTGTCGGCACACTTGCTGGGCTGCCAGGTGTAGTAGGAGAGGTGTGAAATGCCTGGGGCCCCAGGCTGCTCTGGCAGAGTGCCAGTTGTTCCCAGCACCGACAGGAAGGCTTATATAGACACTCCGGAACTCCGGGCTGGGGATCGGGGTGACACCAGGGGTGGCCCCAGCACACACATGTACATATGTATGTGCAGGCATGTATGTGTGGCACTCAGACACAGAAGATCTAAAGTCCTTTTTAAAAAGAATGTCAGGGAACATTACTGTGTGTTGGCAATCACCCTCTGGAGCCGGAGGCTCCGACCCGTGGCCTGAGCTACTCAGAAGGGGGATTGATTGCGTCCGTGGTGCCAAAGGTTGGCTGGTTTTCTCCTCTGGCTAGACATTAGTCTAGGTCCAGATTTTGAGTAGCAGTTCTTCAGAGGGGTTTTAGAACAGGGACAGTTTCAGAGCTGGTCTGGCCCAGGGAGAGGTGATGTGACCGGAAGTCAGGAGGCCAACCCTTAGCTCTCTCAGACTCTGACAGCAGAGCAAGCCTTGCTCTTCCTGGTGCTCAGATCAGGACAGTGTTGCATCTCCAGCAAAATTACAGGTCCTGTGTTAGGAAGCTTGAGAACCACTGAGCTAGAGTAGGGGCAGGTGTGAGGTGTGAGGTACCCAGTGTGGGTGCTGGGAACTGAACTCAGGTTCACTGGGAGAGCGGCAAGTGCTCTCAGCCATGGAGCCAGCTCTGCAGCCCCTCCCCTGTACTCCGTGTAGCTGGGTAGACACCCTGGGCTTCTTCCTGGGCAGAGGAGCTAAGGGCAGAGCCATTGCAGCCACTCTCCTGTGGTGGTGGTGGTGGTGGTGGTGGTGGTGGTGGTGGTGTAGTGTCAGAGCCTAAGTGTCTGGAAAGCTGATTGTGTTCTGAGAGCACGCCGCCTTGATTTCAGGATGTTGCAGGTTGTGTTTCTTTCACAGCTGATGTTAGGCTTCTGTGAGACCAAGGGTAGACTCAGCGTTCTTGAATTTTCTGCTCATCATGATCTGTGTCCGTGAAAGGTGTCTAGGCTCCTCAGACAGTGTGTGCACAGTTTGAAACCATCTGCTTCATAGGCAAAAATCCTGTCCCACTTAGAGAAGACACAGTAGTGCTGTCTGTGGGGAGAAAGTATCCTGGGGACACATGTGTTTGTGGTACTTAAGCCACCACACCTTAGTGATTTGTGCTGGAATAGACAGGCCTTGCCACTGAGCAGAGTCCATTAGAAAGTGTAACCATCATGCAGCTCTGGAATTGGAAGTGAGTTTTGGTGAACCTGGCCGTCACATTTTCATCCTGGGTTTCTGTTGCTTTAATATTTAGAGTTTATCCTGTGGGACGGCTCCTGCTCTCACCCCTGGACTCTGAGGGCTTGTCTTTCCCCTCCTGTGCTGATCTCTTCATAGTTCTATCCAGACTTGCCAACTGTCAGCCAGGCTGCTCAGTTCACCCAGGGTCTGGCAAGAGGAAAACTGACCCGTATTTGTGGGCCTTGCTGCTCTCTGGAGACAGCGCCGGTGAGCTTTTTCAGTGACATATGGGTTGCTGCTCCCCGAATTGTCTCGTGGAATAGTAATCCATGACAGCTGCCGAGACACTAATGGATCCAGGGCCAGGTTGTGCGTCACCGGCTCTCCCAGCTACCAGGAAATCTGAGCCCTGATGAACAATGCCATGAAGATGCTCTTGCTTTTCATACGGGCCCTTCTGGTTTGGTTTTAAATTAAAAATGACAGTTAATTGATTTTTTTTTTTTTAAATCTCCCTCTTTGGCTGCCTAAAAAGTTTTCTCCGTAGTTTCAAAGACTTACTATATTGTGTGTATGTGTGCACACTGGAGTGTGTGCACAGGCCAGAGGACAGCCTCAAGTGGTGTCCTTGGGAGCTGCTCGCCTCGGAGCTTTGTTCTGAGACAGGTTCTCTCTGTGTATCCTCGGCTGTCCTAGAACGCACTCTGTACACCAGCCTGGTCTCTGTCCCCCAGAGACCTGCCTGCCTCAGCCTTCCAAGTGCTGGGATTAAAGGCGTGTGCCACCGAGCCTGGCTTCTCTGCCCCAAAGCTCACCCTGTAGGCTGAGCTGCACATAAGCATGAGGACCTGGGTTTGTTCTCAGAATCCACACGGAAAAGCCTGTAATCCCAGCACAGAGGAAGCAGGAGGCTGGAGCCCGGAGGCTCTCTAAGGCTTGCTGGCTTGGCAACCCAGCCAGTCAGTAAGCCCCAGGCAATGAAAAACTGTCTTGGAAGAGCCACACCTGAGGTTCTGGCTTCCACACACACGAAATAAAATTTTAAATTTTTGACATTAAAACTGACCCAGCCCCCACTGTGTTTAGATGGAACCATGCTGGTTTAGGTCCTTAGAGGAACTGTATACAGAAGGAATTCAGTCTTCTAAACCAAGAAAATAAGGCAAGGTGAAAATGTAAGACACTGTTTCTGGTTTCTAGAATGCTTGTTTTAATTTTTTTGTTTATATGTATGTATTGTATGTATATGTGTATTGTGTGCATGCATGTGTCATGGTAGGCAATTTAGGGGACAGCTTGGGGAAGGGGGTTGATTCTCTCCTTCCATCGTGTGGGACCCAGGATTGAATTTAGGGCATAAGCTTGGTGACCTCTGCCCTCTGAGCCGTCAGTCACATGGGCCCTAGAATGTTTCCATTAAAACAGGTGTTTTGCGCTCTTTAAAGTAATTTGTTGATCAATTAGAGTAAGTATTCTGCAGCCTTCATGGCCTATTGCAAGACCAGGCAAGTGGTACACACCTGTGATCCAGCATTGAGGAGGCCAAAGATGAGAATCACAAGTTTGAGACTCACCTGGGCTACCGGGCACACCCTGTCTAAAGTGAATTGAGGATGGGGCAGCAGTATTGTCACTTTGAAAGCTATAAAATGAGCTCATCTTCCTTGGTACTGGCAAACATCCAAACTTTGAGGCTTTAATAAAGTGTGGGTGGGGGACAGCCTAGTCTATGTAAGTGAGTTCCAGAACAGCCAGGGCTGCTAGGAAAACCGTGTCTAAAAAAAAGAAAAAAGGAGAGTATGAGTGGGGCTAGCGCAATGGCTCAGCAGTTAAGAACAACTGTTGCTCTTGCAGAGGACCCGGGTTCAGTTCCCAGCACCCACACCCCACACCGGTGGCTCATAACCATCTAACTCCAGTTCCAGGGGATCTGACGCCCTCTTCTGGCCTGTGTGGGTGCATTTACATCTATGCAGGCAAAACACTCATACACATAAAATAAGAATATATAAATCTTTTAAGTTAGGAATGCATGTGAGGTCAAATTTAGTGAAGGAAGGTGAACGTCAAGTTGGAAAATAATTGGTTTGCAGCAGTGGTCAGCAGTGCTCCCATGGTTCATGATGGAGAAATGGCAGACGTTTTTTCAGATGGTCTGATAGTGACCGTGTGGTCAGATGCGTGCGTGCGTAACTTCCGAATGCATTTGTGGACACACCTGACAAGCCTGTGTCTTCAGTTGTAGTTGAGTGTCTGGAACTGGGAGGAGAGAACGGGTTATCGGAAAGTGGTGGTACTGCTGGTTTCTGGTGGGTCGTTCCGGGTCTGAGCTGGAAAAGGAAGATGAGGTCAGTTGTGCTCCAGACGCTTTTCCTCACTCGTACAGATGCTGGTCTCGAATATTGACTTGGGCCCCACGATCCTGGACCTTGCTGGCTATGACCTGAATAAGACACAGATGGATGGGGTGTCCTTACTGCCCATTCTGGTGAGTATAAAGCCACAAAAAACCAGGACCAGAACTCTGAAACTTTGTCTACCCGGGGTAGACAAAGAAAAGTTGAAGTTACTAACCCTCAAAGGAGGGGATTTGTCTCGTGCCTTGTGGTGGAAAGGAGTTTCCTAAATGAGAGGACTGACTGGACCACTTGTCACCTCCAGCCTTCTGTAGTCTTTCCCCTCACCTCCCAGAACAAACCAAAGGTGACCAACGGGTTGAAAAGAACACTTGCAACTTACATACAAGAGGACAGTTGAAGGCATGGGAGGTCTTAGAGAGAGAGGTTGACATCCAGGTAGAAATAAGCCAGATAGTGAGGACGGAGGAATGGCCCAGGTCAGTGTGGAAGGGTCACCTCAGTGTCGTCAAAGAGATGCTGAAGGAAAGGAGGCCTGTGTCGCCTGCAGAGTGGCAAGGACTGAAGATGAATGCCCAGTGTTGCACAAGTCTGAGAGTGGAAACGTGCTTGCACACTGTTCATGAGGCACAGGCAAATACCTGGCCTGAGCGTAGTTAGAAAGACTGCGTTAGTAGCAGGCTGCCGCTGCGGCTCATGGCAGAGCATTTACATAGCATACAGAGGCCTTGGGTTCTTTCTGAAAAGGGGGTGGGTGGAGGAGGAGGAGGAAGAAAGATGAGGAGAGATCAGTATTCCCACACTGATGCTGCCTCTCCTCATGGTCCCCACGCTAGTTAGCTGTCTTACCTTAAGTCTTGCTTTGAGCTTTAACCACACACACAAACGATTCTTCAGCGCATCTGTCTGGGCTTTTTTAAAATTCCATCTTTGCAAGATGGATCCATACTGTTCTCGGCTACCTGATACTCCATTACCTGAATACATCATGACCAGTTGTCCGTCTCTTCCCGGGTAGTGTCTGTGCCGCCCTCGCACTCCCAGACACACTATCCCTCCCGGCTGCTCTCACTCAGCATGTCTCTGGAATCGTCCACATTGCAACCTGTATCTGTCCTTCGTTCCTGCCAGCGTGCTGAGTACCACTCTTCCCTCCCCTCCAAGGAGACCTGGCACTCTGTGTATGTACTCATCACACGGGTGTGCAGGCCTAACCCTGTTGTGAACATTCTCGTGAGTCTCTGTGTGCCCAGTGTCCCTGTGGTGACTATAACTCTAGCTTTTCAAAGACCCCCGACTGTTTACCATGTCGTGTGTTTCCATCAGCCTTGTGCGAGGGTTTGAATTTTCCCGCACCTTCAACACTTGATCCTCTGTGTTTTGTGGTCATAGCAGGTGTGGAAGCGTCTCCCCGTGGCCCTCCTCAGCAGTTCTGTAGTCACGATAGGCTCCTTGCCGTGTGCTTGCTGGTGAACGCATCATTGTTGACGAGTCGTCTGTTCAGGGCCTTCCCCCACTTTCAGTTGCGCTGTGGGTGAGAGAATCTGCTGTCTTCTCCCTGTGAAGCACCTGTGGCTGCCCCTGCTGCTCTGCCGGCGGCCCCTCTTTCCGCTGCTATATGGTAGGAAAAAGCAGGAGTTGGCCGCTCCTTTTGGTAGTCAGTGTTCTTTGGTGTGCATGAGGAGCATATATCCATGGATGTAGACGTGTATGCCGAGGTCCGTTTTCAGGGGTTAGTCCCCACCTCCTCGTTTGAGATGGTCTTGGTGCTGCTGGGGAAGCCAGGCTGGCTGGCCCACGAGCTTTAGGAGGGCCGCCTGTCTGTCTCCAGCTCCCATCTTCCCATGGAGAAGTGCGGGATTGTAGATGCTTGTGCTGCTCTGCAGGCTCTGGGGATCCGAACTCACGCTGTCAGGCATGTGTGGTCTGTGCTCTCCCCACCGACACGCCTCCCCAGCCCTCTTCGTGTCTGATTTATGAAAATGCCCCGACATTCCAAGTTCAAGATCTCTTCCTTGATTTTCTTCCATGGGTTTCACAGTTCTGTCTCTTGTGTGTCTGGGAAGATTTTCCTGTGGTTTCGGCCAGGAATCGTATTTTTTCTCTGTAGGTACCCAGGTGTCCCTCTGACCCACTGGCCCTTGCTTGCTGTATGTCTTTGCCTTCAGACTGGTAACCAGTCTGTCTCTGTGGGTCTCCCTCTCTCCACATTCTATGTTCCATAGAAACCTGAGAATCGGCTTTGGGCTGGGAACACCTGGGATCTATGGATCCGTCAGGGAAACTGATATCTTTTAACTTCACATGTCAGTCCCAGGCTAAAAGTCGCTGGGTTGTACAGAAGGAACCTCTGCACATTTCTGAAAGCGCCACCTCACACTTTGTTCCCTGTTAGTTCTGTTTTTGAGGTTGTTATTAAAAAATTATTAGGCCAGTTAGATGGTCACATGTGGCTTTTTAAGTGAACTAAAGTACGATGCAGAGTCATTAGTTCCTTGATTGCATTAGCTTCATCCTGTGGGCAGACCAGCAGCTCACACACCACAGCCTCAGGACCAGATCTAAGCCAGCCCTGGCTTTGAGAGTGAAGGCCGACTGGAGTAGTCCCACTCACCCTGAGATGAGTAGATGTCACAGATCACGTAGGTGTAGAACATAAATATATACACATGGGCCTTTTTCAGAAAAAAATGGCATTATTTCATTGACATAGATGCTGGGTAGACATGGCAGCCCACCTCTGACTCCAGCACCAAGAGACTGACAGGCTCCCGAGACCTTGCACCATCAAACTTGCCTGCTCGTCTGTCTCCTGCTTTGCCACATTGATGGCAAGGAAAGGCTTCTCTCAGTCACTTAAGTGACTTCACGTTCATACCTCCAGTAGAGATATCAGGGGTCATGGAGTCACCGCAGAAGGAGTTTGAATGGAGAGGAATCCAGATGACAGTCTTTGGGGACGCATTAGGGACGGACTTTCTCTTACCTCCTGGCTGGTGTATAATCCTTCATCCACCTCTGCATTTCATCACATGTAAACTTCTTTCCCAGATGTTGGCTGCCGCCTCTTCATGTTTCCTGGGAATCTCTCTGCACGTTGACAGGGATGTCTGGGGAGTTTCTTTGCTCTTTTCTGCAGGTCTGCACAAAGGTGGCATAAGCCGACATCTTTTTTTCCTGTTCCCCGGTCTGCGCAGCCTAGGGTGTGACTCCCCAGCTGAATACTAGCTGCCTCAAGCACCCCAGGAATGTCCAGTGGGATGTTAATTCATACCGAGTCTCAACTTGGTCCCCGTTATAATCACTTGGGGAAACGAGATACCACAGTGCTGGGTCCCCCTCCCCTGAGAGATGCTGATTTAATTGGCATGGGCAATTTTTCAGGTTCCTTCAAGTCTCTGCAGGTACTCTTCCTCTCTGGACACTTGATCCCCAAGTGCGGGACTCTGAGGTCTACCCACGCATGACTTACAGCTCTCCCCAACTCTAGCAGTTGTGAGCAAGGACGAGGTGGCACTTCTGCGGTCTCCAGTGACTCAGAATCTGAAGCCTGGACCGGCACAGTTTTGTTCAGGTTTTAGTGTGTAGCCGTGAGTTAAATAATCCCCACCGCTGACTCTCCTTTCCTGGCATTCACGGCCTGTGTAAGCTAACACCCATCTCCCAGCTTCAGTGTTCTTGAGAGGCATGGATCTCAGCTGACAACGGGGATGCCCGTGGGCTCTCCACCCGGATTGAAAGCTGAGGGTTTGCATTTACAATCGATGCTGATGTTAAAACCACACCAACCAAGGACGGGATCTAGAGATGAAGAGGAAGAGGCCGAAGGCAGGCCAGATCAGAAGGACCCTTGTGTCCTGCTCACGTTTTCCTAGATGTGAATGACCGCTCTGCTGCTTACCTAGTGTGTGTGAGACCCTGCCTCGGTCACTAGCACCAGGAACAATATTCCGAGGGCTTGAGATGGTGTCAAGCAAGCTGCCATCCAGCTGTTGAGGAAGACATTAGGCTGACGGAAGGGTCCCTTCTGACCTGGCTGACCTCTGAAGCACAGCCTTGCTCTGTCCCTTCCTCAGAACCATCTCCTGCCTGTTACTCTTCAGAGACAGGTCTCTCTGTTGCCCAGTGACCAGGGCTCAGTCATCCCTCATGCCTCAGCCTCCCGAGTCGCTGGTGCTGCAGGCTTGGGGCCTCCTGGCATTCAGGCCCTGGCTGTCTACCCTCCCCTGTTCCTGCTTCCTCCTCTTGGAAGCTGGGGTTCGTGACCCACCTGGATCCATGTTCTCTGCCATCCTGAGTTCATCTGCTCTTGATCTCAGCCTGCCTTTTCCAGTGTTCACCTGCGTGGCTCAAGTGTTTGCGTTTCCAATGCTGCCGCCTCTCTCCGCACAGCTAACGTGCAGTGCAGTAAACGTGGTGTGGGGGTTGTGCTTTCAGGGTGTACACCCTGCACCGCCCGTCTCTCTCTCTCTCAGGCCTGCCCAGGGTAGGCACTGTTCGCACTGACCTTGACTAGAACCATGCACCGCTGTCCGTTCTTGTTCAGGGGCTGCTTCCTTCCCGCCGGCACGCTTCACATACTGCCCTGTAAAGGGATATAAGACATTCTAAGCATCTGGCCCTCACTTTGAAGACCACAGCCCAGAAATGACAGCAGTGGCTCTCATACGCATGCGCAGAGTGAGCTGTCCGGAGGCCCCTCGGGCAGCAGAGTGAGAAATGATCCTCACCTTCGGTCTGCACCTCACAGAACCCACCTTTGCTCTTTTTCTAGAAAGGAGCCAGTAACGTAACCTGGAGGTCAGACGTCCTGGTGGAATATCAAGGAGAAGGCCGGAACGTCACTGACCCGACCTGTCCTTCCCTGAGTCCCGGAGTGTCTGTGAGTAGCAGCTTTCTCACCCCGAGGCAGGTGCCGGATGGCTGCCCCAGGCTCCCGAGTGGTGGTGCCGAGTGGTGCTGCCGGCATCAGGCTCCGCTCCCCCGCAAACACACACCTTACCCTGTCTCCGCCTGGTACCGTTTGGCTAGGCGCACTGCCAGAGGAACTGATGGAGAGACGGGATTCACCCCTATGTGCCATCACAGGTGCCTCACACTGGCGGCACCCAGGCAGGTCACGCAGATAGTGACAGCCACATTGACCTGGCTCTGGGAAATGGAGCATTGGGTCTTCAGACACTGAAGTGTTCTGAGTAAAGGACCCAGCCCGGCGTGGGGGCACAGACCCTTAATCCTCGGTCTGGAAGGCAGAGACAAGTGGATCTCTGCGTTCCAGGCCAGCAGGGACTACAGAGTGAGCCCCTGGGGTGGTTTGGTTTTTGTTGTTTTTTTCTAAAATGTGTGTGTAAGACACAGCACAACCAACTGTGGGGCTAGCAGAGCCTGTGGGAACCTGGAGTTTGGTCCTTCGTAGTGCTGGGGTCCTGGGGCCCTCTCTGTGCTTTTCTTCTTACCCCAGGATGGCAGGTCCAGACCGTCCTTCAGAGAGTCCCCCTCCCCGGCGACTGGCTTCAGCCAGCCTGTACCTGTGTTGACAACAGATTTTGTTACTATGGCAGAGCGGGTCCTCATTTAACTTGTAAACTCTTCCCCCAGCAATGTTTCCCAGACTGCGTGTGTGAGGACGCTTACAACAACACCTATGCCTGTGTGCGGACGCTCTCGTCCCTCTGGAACCTACAGTACTGCGAGTTTGATGACCAGGAGGTAAGGGACTTGGGCCTGGTCGCCTCCCCCACCCCACCGTGTCTGTTGCTGGTGTTCGGTTGCTTGGGCTTGGTGGCGCAAGATCGATTTTGAGCACTACCCAGGGAGGCGAGTGTCTTCTCTACACTTCCCTGACATCTCGCACAGTTCACGAGACAGTCTCCTCGTTCTCTGATTTTTCTCCATGGAGTCTTCTCTGCTCACCACCTCCACATCCCGCACAGTTGACTTTCAGAATGACACACGTCTGGTCTGTGGGCTTCCCGGGTTGTAAAGTGAGGCACCTCAGCATCCCAACAGGCTGGCCAGCATCTGACTTGACAAAGAAGCTCCCTTTGCTCACACAACACAGGCCAGTGCTATCTATCTGCTATTAGAGTGGGGAGACAGGCTAAAAGGGCCATCCTTGGGAGAAGGTGGGGCCTGGGCCACTCTGGTAATTGTGGACACCAGGGCCTTGAAGTCACGTGCTGCTGCTCAGCATGCGCTCACCAGCCCTGTCTGGCCCTCCTCTTACCTTCTGAAGTCACGTGCTGCTGCTCAGCATGCGCTCACCAGCCCTGTCTGGCCCTCCTCTCACCGTCTGAAGTAAACGTTCACCTATGTTCTTCAGACGTGGACTCTCCCTTCCTTACAGCTCGGCAGCACACTGAGGAGGAAGCAAGCCTTGCTGCAGCCGAGCTGCCCTTCCCCACGTCTGTCTGTCTGTCTGTCTGATAACACTGAGTGGTGGTCTGAGGGCAGCACTTACCTCCCACATCCTGGCTTCCGTTGGACTCCATTTGGAAAACAGGATGAGAGGAAGGACTGAGGCCAGGCAGGAACTACCCCAAACTACTCTCTAAGATAGGAAGTGGTTCACGGGCCAGAGTCAGAGCCGACCTCGCCTCCGTCCTCGCTTGAATCCCGGCCTCTGAGGCCCAGACGGCTTCTCCCTCACTGACCAGCTGCAGTGCTGTTTGGTACTGAGGCCGGGCCATCGAGGGCCATCGAGGGCTCGCTCCTGTTCACCCTCTAGAGGGTCGTAAGTTACTCTCTTGAAGACAGCAGTGGACGGTGGCCCCAGCTCAGCATGGGGCTCTGTGTCCAATGCAGGTGAACCCCAACAGAGACAGTGTGTGAAGCCTTAGACCACGTGATGAATGGGCCTTGGTTTCTCGTCTGTTTCTTCCCTTTCCATTCAGAAATAATTGCCTTAGGAATATTTTCTCAACATAACCTTTGCTCTTTTCCTTTCCTCCGTCCTCCTCTGCCTCTAGGTGTTCGTAGAAGTCTATAATATAACTGCAGATCCAGACCAGATCACCAACATTGCTAAAAGTATAGACCCAGAGCTTTTGGGAAAGATGAATTACCGCCTGATGATGCTCCAGTCCTGTTCGGGGCCAACCTGCCGCACTCCAGGAGTCTTTGACCCTGGGTGAGTGTCCGTCTTAAGTTATTCTGCTATTGTCTGTAGAGGTCACGCTCTTCTGGAAGAGAGGGAGGCCACTGGCTGCTGCTGCCTGGAGCCGTGTGTTCTGCTGCTTTTCAAGGGAATGCCGTGTTCTTGCTGTGTCAGCGTGTTGTGCTGGGAAAGGAAACCGCTTGGCACTTGGCTCTCTGCCAGTGGCTGCTGAGTCCGCAAGCGCAGCCCTGCTCTCCTGTCCCCAGAGTTCTCCTTGGTCACACTGGTCAGCTCCGGCCCGGCGCTGCCCTGGTCCTAATGCTTCCGAGAGCATACTGCTTCATTTCTTAGAAATCCAGAGTCCTAAACACAGATGAAAACAGATAGGAACTCAGACGGTAAATAGAAAGAACCCCACTGCAGTGTGTTGAGTGTGAATGGCACTTCTCACCTGTAAGGCCACATGTGCCTCACACTCTGGAACTGCTTACACAGTACGGGGTCTACAGACACTGGCTGCCACTGCCTGTGCATTCATGCTGCATCAGCAAGAAGCATGCCGCCATTTTATGCTTGAAAATTAGGACGATGAAATTAGCATGTCACTGGGAAAAGATTATTTCAGCTCTTTAAGCGACGTGGGGGTGAGGAAGGTGAGGTGTCCAGTTGACTGACGGTCAGGTATAACTTAACCTTCTTCACAGTGAATTGATCTGTTCTCCAAATTAGAGATGAAGGAATATGAATCAATAGAGAAAAAGGTACACACAGCCAGAAACACAGATTCCAGACTGCCATACTCACAGTAGAGCGCTCACCTACATTCTCACAGGACCCCTTGGCTCAAGTCCCAGCTTGAAGTTTTTTGTTTTGTTTTCAGAGAGCTCTCTCTGACTGTCTTAGAAGTTGGGATGTAGCCCAGGCTGCCTCTGCCTTCCCGGGTGCTGCTGGGATTAAAGGCACACCACCATCCCTTGCTCCCTTGCTAAAAAAAAAAAAAAAAGAAAAGAAAAGTAAATAGCTGGGCAACTGTATAGAAAGACCGTGTTTGTCATAGCTTTACCTAGCTTAAGCAAGTGTGAGTGTGGCGAGGCTGGGCAGGCATTTTCCCTGAGCAGCGTTCAACCTCTCTGAAATAGGTCAGTCTCCAAAGCACGGACGTCAGCGCCCACATGCTGACTTTGTTCTCATGTTCTAGCCATCCCAATGACTTAACACTTTGAACCATACAGTCTCGGGTTGGCTCTGGGAACTTAAAGCCAGAGTCTAACTAAACCCTCAAAAGGAGATGGAAGGAGTCTCCAGGATTAGGACATGTGGCCAACAACCCCAGTGACTCTGCTCCTGGAACACAGACCTCCCACAGCATCTGGCCAGCCAGAGCAGGGTGGCTGCAGGTGCTGGCTTGTTTCTGGGCATCTGGATCAGTGGTCTGCTCTCCAGAGAGCCCTCAGCCCTAACATTTCAAGTCAGGAAGTTAACTAGTACGATTTCCCCAGGGGTCACCTCTGAAGCACGGATTCGTCATGGTCCTGTTCCCCAGCACTGTTTAACCCGAAACAGCCTTTATAATTCACCCCGGCTGCTTATTTAATGCGGAAGACGCTGGCTTTGTGTGCTCTTGTTGACCTGAGCTATGTAAACACCAGCCGAGTTTGTTTCTAACTCATCATCCAGGTTATTCTTTTCTACCAAACATTTGGTCTTCAGAGTCCTCTGCAGTAGGTCACCAGACGAGATCCTGTAGGGACAGCCGTTGGCACCCAGCCACACACGTTCCTGTCACTGTCGTGGCCGGATGGTCCGGTTGTGCCTCTTCCTGTCCTCTGGCTCTTCACAAAGTGTTGCTGCAGCAGCTGACCCACACGCAGGAGCAAGTGTGAAGTCGTGCAGCGTGTTTCCTTCCGGTCAGCACGTGGACAGCCAGTCTGTATTCTTTATAAAGTCCTAGCTGTTCCCACGGAGGGTTCACTTGGAGGGTTCCTTTACGTGAAGGCCTTTCTGTTGGATGACCAGAGACATTTGGAGTTGTCTAAATTAATAAGCCAGGTTCAGGCACCCATCTGAGGTCCATGTACCTGAGGACTGTCCCTTAACCCACCTGCCTTTAATCCCAGCACTCGGGCCTGAGGCAGCAGATCTGTGAGTTTGAGGGCAGCCTGGTCTGCGCAGACATTTCCAGGCCAGCCAGGGCTGTGTAGTAATTTTTTTTTTTTTAAAGAAACATTAACGTGTTCTCAGCTCCCAGCCTGTGTGGAAATATTTTCACCTTCAGAAACCACATTTATAGTCCTGCCTCCTCCAACCAGTTCCTTCTGGTGTGCAGCCCCTCCTGCCCACTGGAGAGTAGGCCGTGAAGTCTCCATGGCTGGCTAGAGTTCATGTGACATCCTTTTCTTCCTTCCCTCAGGTACAGGTTTGACCTGCGTCTCATGTTCAGCAATCACGGCAGCGTCAGAACAAGAAGATTCTCAAAGCATCCTCTGTAGTGACGGTGCCCAGCCTCTGCAGTTGGATCCTCACACACCCCTTTCTCATGAAGTGGTTGGTAGTAGGAGCCCATGCCTGGAAGAGCTCTGGCCTGGCTGTTTGGAGTCCTGTTGGAAAAATCACCCGGTCAGCTGACTGTAGTACTGTGAATCCACCCCTGTGTCAGAAGTGGCTGACCCTGTCTCTTCCTCAGATGACAACCAACACTCCTGAGGTCTTTGTCCTCTCCATGTCCCTTCATCTTGGGTGGGCACAGTGTGTGATGATCTCCCACATGGTCAAGTCTAAATCCGTAAAACTGTTCAGGTCAATGGCAATACTTTAGGGCAGAAAGAAAAGGCCTTTTGGTCTGTAGCTCGCCCCCAAATCAAAAGTCCTGTCTAGCATTTCAGACTGAGCCCCTCACTGTCAAAAACACACAGCCCTGAAAAGAACTGTTTGTGGAGATGTAGAGAAAAGATGCTTCTAACTTCCAACACGGTGTGGTAAACATGCAGCTTGTCACCTAAGCTCTGTCCTATTTTGCTGGGATCCTGGGCTGTGCTGATGCAGCAGCAGGCTGTGGGGGGTCAAGGTGAATCCCCGGGAGCTCTGGAAGCCATCAGCTCTTCAGTGGCCCCAGCGGCCGTGAGTGCTCAGAGGCACTGGGGAGAGGCATGCTGTGGGGAGGGCCAGAGCAGACGGGGCTCCTGGGGGAGCAGGTGGAAGGGGGCTGCACAGAAGTGCCTGTCGGGAGGGACCTCAAGTGTTGCTGCTCATTTGAGATGACAGTCACTGTCAAGGTGACTGGCTGCAGTTAGCCGCCATTCTCATTTAAAAGATGACAGTGTCTCCCGGTTGGTGTGAAGGACCAGCAACTTCATCCCCCTTCCTCCTCCCTGTCCCGAAAGCTCTTGAGTTTCCAGTCGGTATTCCCCTGCCCAGGGTTCCTCGCTGCCCAGAACGACATCGTCCTGCTCCTTCACTGAAAGACCAAGTCCACTCTGACATTTCCCGGAAGGGCCGCGTGCTGCTAGGACAGCAGAGGAGGAGGGAGGGCTGGGGTTAACCTGTTCAGCTTAGGCACTGAGTGACCCAAGCTTCACACAGCCTCTGTCCAGCTTTAAACACTGCAATACACAGCTAGACATCACTTGGGGATGCCAGAGGCCATGTTGGGGTAATAGCCATGGAGTTGATTCCTTTACCTCATGTGACCCCAGCAACTGCAGTGATACTGAGAATCTGGCAATGGAGGGAAAACGTTTTTAAGTTTCAGAATTGAATATGGGTACTGGCTCCATTCACTCCCCTGGGATTCTAAACACCATCAGTCTATACTAGTGAAAGTTGACCATAGCTGTCCCCAAATAAAAAGTAACCAGCTCTTACCAGGCCGTGGACTGTGATGTCATATTCTTCAGTTTTGTGGCTGGCTCCTGAAAGTAAGCAAAGCCAGAATTGACCGGTCAGCTGCCATGAGGGTTTCTACCTCGCTGTCCTTACAGTCAGGGGACACAGTCGGGTGGTGGGACAGTTATGGTGCCGTTCCTGCCAATTTATCTCAGTTTATCCTGACAGAGTGCAGCGTGCACGGCTTCCCACCTACAAGGGATACACGGCAAGAGCCCTGTAATCTGTACTCATGTGAATTTTGACGTCTCCTTTGAAGGCCAGGGCCGTGTCCGCTGGTGCTTTTCAAAATAGAGAACCATTAAACCAAAATGGAATGCAGGGACTTTGCCTGAGAAGATTTCCTGTTTCGAACTGTCCCTCAGACACAATTTCAAAGTCGGGTACACGTTTAGAGTGTCTTTGGGCTTAACAAAAGGTATTGTTGCAACACCTTTGGAATTGTCAGCGCTAGGGTTTTTGTACAAAATAGTAAGGGTAGCTGTGGAAGTTACACCTTTACCTGTGAGAAACATTCAGAAGTATCTGCAGACAATGGTTTTTCTTTTCTAATGAAAGATGGTGGGCCAGACTCCTCAAGAGAAAGCACAGGGGGTACCCAGCCGAACAGCACTGGGGTCGCTGGTACGCTGCCGTTCTTCCGCTCACCAGCACCTTCTGCTCAATGGACTGAATTCTCTTCTCAGTATCACTTGTTCAAGACGTTCCTCTGCCCCGGCGCTCTGTCATCTCACGTAGAAAGTGCCCTTCAAAGGACCCTGTTCACTGCTGCACTTTTCAATGATTAAAACTTATTTCTGTTCTAGTGGGAATGTGTCCTTTGTTTGAGTCCACAAGTAGTCCTCACAGGACGTGAGGAGGTGGCTGCTTCCTGGGGTTTTGTGGGGCTGGGGACCAGACTCAGGGCTGACATATATCAGGTCAGATAACCTTCCCGCTGCTGTGTGAAGATCATCACTGACCTAGCAGTGAAAATGGACCATTTCTGGCCTGGAGAGATGGCTCAGAGGTTAAGAGCACTGACTACTCTTCCAGAGGTCCTGAGTTCAATTCCCAGCTACCACATGGTAGCTCACAACCATCTGTAATGACATCTGGTGCCCTTTTTCTGGACTGCAGGCAGACATACAGGCAGAACACTGTATACATAATACATATTAAAAAGAAAGAAAGAAAATGGGCCATTTCCTCATCTATGGTCTCCATCTGGAAAGCTCTCACATACCAGTCCCTCCTAATCATCCAGGGCCTGGATAGCTCAGTGGCTAAGAACAGTTGCAGAGGACCCCAGGTTCAGTTCCCAGCACCCACGTGGTAGCCAACAGCCATCTGTAACTCGAGCCCAGGGGGTCAAATGATTCTTCTCAACTCCACAGCCTCCGGCATGCACACAAATACATGTAAAATAGTTCTTCAAAGAAAAAACATCCCGATAAATCATTTTCATTTCAACTTCTTGGCCAGCTTTTAAGTAAACAGACAAACTCACCTTTGAAGATGCATTGTGATAGCCCAGGTGTTGGATCCATTTCCCTAAAACAAAAATCACATCTTGCAGGAGTCAACAGACTTTCTTAAAGGGATAAATACCAAACATTCTAGGCCTACAGGAGACATAGTCTCTGTCACAACTACCCTGCTGTTGAAGCATTAAAAACCCAAAAGGGGCCCCCTGGCGGTGGGACCAGAATCCATCCCTGGTGCGTGGGTGGGCTTTTTGGAGCCCACTACCTATTCTGGGACACCTCATGCAGCCTTGAGGCAGGGGTAAGGGCTTAGACTTGCCTCTACTGGATGTGCCTCCCCCATGGGAGGCCTTGCCTTCTTGTGGGGGGCAGTCGGGGGTGGGTTGGGAAGGGGAGGCTGGCGGGAGAAGGGAATAGGGGGATCTTTGGTGTGTAAAATGAATGAAAAAATTTTCTTAATAAAAAAATAGCCCAAGAGCTGGAACCACAGCTCAGTGGATAGATGCTTACCTCATAGGCACAAAGCCCTGGGATCATCCCCATTAGCAAGTAAACTGGGTGGAGCAAGGCATCTTCAGCTACAGAGTGAGATTCAATCCTGGTAAATAACTGTGTGAGACTCTGTTCCAACTTAGAAAAACAAACTGACCACAAATTACCAGCCCCAGACATAGTGGGTTACTTCATAGACCAAGGAGATGTTAGATGTTGAAACCTTGACAGGTTGCTGTCTGGAAAAGATCACTTCGGGGCTGGAGAGATGGCTGAGAGCCTACGCTGCCCTTGTAGAGGACCCAGGTTTGGTTCCCAGCCACCCACATCGTGTGGCTCACAACCACCTGTAACTCAGGCGATCCAACACCTTCTGGCTTCCGTCGGTACTACACACATGCACAAACCCACACATATATACACTTAATTGAAAATGAAAATCTTTAAAAAATAACTGAGTGTACCACAATGTCAAGATCACCCCTATGAGTCACAAGCCTGTCAGCCACCCCCTCACCCCCGCTCCTACCCATGTAGGGGTCAGGCAAGTCCCACACTGAGGGGACACACTTGGGTTTTGTTGGAGGTGAGGAGCGCTAAGCTGATCAGCCTACTGTTTTATAGCAAGCCTGTTCTTTGCCCCAGAGGAAGCCATTACCTCATCCATCAACATTGATCACTTGCCAACGGCCCTGAGACGTGTCGGGCATAAACAGTGTTCAGGGGCTTGCGATTGGGATACCAGAGTTGACACTGGCCCAACAACCCTCAGCTGGGTAATAGCAGGCGGTCACTTAGCTGGATGCAGTCCCTGCCCTGACCACAGCAGAGTCTAGAAGCCAGGGCAGCCGTCCACGAATGCTGTGATGTGGTCAGGAGAACTGCTCTTTAACCCTGTGTTTAAGGTGAGGGGTGTGTAAAGGTAAGTAATGAACGCTGTGCTTTTATATATTCTGTACTGTGTGCATGCACACGTGTGCCAAGGGTGTGTGTGCCCGTCAGAGGGCAACTTCTGACAGTTCTTTCCTTCCACCATGTGGTTCTTAGGGACTGAACTAGAGTCCTCAGGCTACACTGGAAGCATCTTTACCTGTTGGACCATGTACTTGGCCCAAGCATTAGCCTTTCGACAGAGAAGATACCAAAGTCTTAAAGCGATGAGGAGGGAAAGGTAATATCTGCGGCAATGTTTAGATCAGCCTCTTGAGCAATACCTAGTCCTAAATAGAAACTAAAGGTTCAGTGTGATCACAAACTACCCAGAAAAAAAACACAAAAGATGGAAGACATGCAAACCCCACCCTAGGAAGCAGGAGACTTAGCTCTATCTCACTGGCATGCCAACATCGGTCAGCACAGGCTCTCCTGGGGGAAGACCTAACATCTCACCTGGTCCCACTGACATGGTACCTGTCCCTTAGAGCCAGATTCCCTGCACAGGTCTCTGTGCCCCTTCCTTTCTCCCCGCAGTGGGTCTCAAGGGCTGTCCATATGCATGCAATGAAGTCAGATCCATAAACCACAGAATTCATAGGACCCAAGTTTGGAAACCCTGTACTGAACT